ATAACCCCATAGGTTAGGAACCATTTATTCTAATTTCCCTTTATAAACTTAGTGACGATTTTTGCTTCCATGTAATATTAGAAAAAACGTGTGACTCTTACATATAAATTATTAAAGGATAAGGTTGATAAATATTTAATTCAATAAATATATACACTCTCCACAACTCCATCCCATCCCTCACCTCCGAACCTCTATTGGCTTAAAAGTCCCCTCTCTTCATAAAACGACAAGTTATTTTTACTTCTCTTCTAAAAATTTCCTCACTTCATTTCTAATTTTCTCTCCTCATTTGCAATTGACAATTTTGAACCTATGAATACAAACAATATTGGTGTTTGGAGAATTTAGAAAATTGTTTCTCTTAATTGTTTTTAGCTATGTAATCCTGCTATATTAAAAGGTTGACTTTGTAACCACCAAATGTACAAAAATAGTACTCTGCTCCAAATTTTAAAAGGTTAATGACTTATAAATGTAATTAAAAGGTTGGGGAATGTTTTCACGTATTAATAGAATAGGGACTTTCACGTGTAAATACATGATTACATCCTGGCCGACGCTGTAGAGTAACGTGATGGGAGTAACCTAGGCCCAGTAGGGATAAATTACATTTTTGGGCCATGTTGGGCCTTGTAAGGGAAAATGTTGGCAATTGAATTCAAATTACCCAAAAAAATGAGATTTTTACCCTTTCATTATTATTCGGAAAGAGAAATTCTTTTACTTTTCACCATCATCAGAGAGGTCACAAAGGTCACATGCATAGACCATAGAAGTTTATGTGACCTGAGTTTGTGGTTATTAAAGGATAATTATGTCCTTTCGGGTCCAAATTGTCCAAAATTTTCAGCGATTATTCATTATTGAACAATTATGCAACCCATTCAAATGTAGATTGAACCCATAATTTTATTGAAGGCTTGGATGATGCAAAAAATCTCATAAATGGGCATGTCGATATTTAAATTCAAAAAAATTGTCTAATGTATACCGTATTGAATTGTTTTACGGATTCAAGGATACAACACAATGAACTATAAATTGGTGAATTCCAGAGATTAACCTGACGAACAACAAGTTTTCAAATGTACATCCTAGTTATTACAGTTCATTTAACATATTATTCACGCGGGTTTGATCATATTGTAACTTCATAATTCGAAATAAATTCATCTTGACCTACCCGTGTGATATTACGAATTTTCCACACTTGGACCGGCTGAATTCTCAATCCATTATGCAGCTGTATCATTAATTATTTTTAATTCAACTTGCAATCGGCTGAAAGTTGAATATGTAATATTGGGAACTTTTTTGTTACTTTCTAATATCAAAATAATTATAGTTTGCATATTCTTTAGAGTCATGTGATAATCAAAACATCACGTGACACGTTTATAACACCTGAAAATCAAACAATTTCTTATTGGTACAGCTTTTTAAATGGGGCATTGATGAGATTAACGTTAATTTACTTAATTTCTACTTTAGTTTCCTTGTCGATTAAGTTTAAAACCATCATTTCTTTAGTTAATAATCATTTTATTCTTTTCCTTCTGGGGTAATTGGATTTGGTCTCTTGTTTATAATAGTGAGTGGCGACATTAATTTAGCTGAATAAGTTAGAGGGAAGAGAAATAACCAAAATTAACATTATTGATTGTTATAGTTGTTAAAGATAGAATTGTATTTCGTGTTAGATGTAACAATTAATCAATTGAATAGTGCAAAAAATATTAATAATTGTTATGTCTTTGTCTATGTGACAGACAATATGATTGTCAACTAAGTAAAATGTGACGCAAAAAATTTACAAATTCATTAAATAGTTGTGGTCGATCTCGAGATGCCTCATACAAGTTGCATTTCGACAACAACACGGAACCACATGAAATGTGACATCTTCTACAATGCAAGCTGGAGTCAAAATCTCTTCTTTTCTGCTTAGGAGAGGGTGCAGGGGTCGCAAACATATGACGCGACAACGTGATGTCATGGAGTTTCATTAGCGAGTCATTGCAATGAGATCACTGTCAAACATTCAAAAAGCTTCAAATTAATTCATTTGCCTATAACGAATCACCATCTTGCACGGCAGATAAAAAAATAAAACTTCACACCGCTTACATATAAAAACAAGAATCAATATATGAAGTTCATATTATTACTCTTTAACGAATTTACCAATCAAGGTAAAAGTATCTAGACTCAAATAAATATATTTAACTATAAAATTTGTTTATTATAATCTTGCTTTAAATTAATTGTGATTATGATACAGTTTAGAAGTCACTTTCATAGTCACTTAATTAACCACTTCACCAAATGCTACGACGTGATTTGCCCATCGATACTGAATACTACTAGTACTAGTCCCACTATGAATATATATATATATATATATAGTTTTCCCGAACCAACTTGAACAACTTTTTTGTAATTTGAAGATTTTTCTAGAGCCTTTCCAAGAACGGAAAATTTATTTGAAGCGAGAGAAAGAGTATCTGAAGATGAAAATTTTGAATCAAGGCTAAGGTATAAAGCTTCATAATTTCTTTAAAAAAAAAAAGAAAATTCTCTTTTATATTTTTTCCTAAAATTCAATTTTGGAATTTTCTGCAATATTAATTTTTTATTTTTACCACTGTCGGAAGGGTTGACAGATTTGAGTTAATACTTGCAGTTATGACTAATTAATCCACTACCACGAATAATTATGATTTGATTACTTTCAAGATTTCGGTTGCATTCAAATTCCAAAAGTAATAATTAAAATTATTCCGTTCATATGCACTAATTACTAATTAGTGTATTTTGGGCTATTTAGTCAACAAGATGACGTGAGGGTATCATAGAAGTGGCTAAATAAAATTCAAAATAATGCCATTTTATGTTTATATTTTAGGTAAAGAAAAGTGAACCATACTACATGAATATAGGGGATTACCGAACACACGCACACGAGAGGGTTGACATTTTTTAATTCGGACGGGACCCACACGCAAATTTGAGGCCTGAGGGTCGGTCAACCCCTACATCAAATTTTTCGGGCACTTCAGCAAAATTCAAGAAAAGTAACAAGTATAAGTAGCTAAACTTTTTCACTTTTAAGTAAAAGAAATCAATTATTTGATCCAAAAATAAAAGGTAAAAAAGAAACGCAACCACTATTTAAAACTATAATATAACCGGTTTGATTAATTATACAATAATTGAGGATTAACTATATCTAAAAAATTGAAATATTTAATAATTATTTCATCAGAAGTTTCATTACAAAATCAAGATTCAAGATTACAAATTTTAATCAGTAAAGTGTGTAATGATGCTATGCAATTTAACTGGTGATGATAATTAATTAAATATACTTAATTGGTAATGATAATTAACTATGCAAATTCAAGTGTTTTTACCTCAGTTTGCATAATGGCCCCCCATGTGGAACAATTATTCTATACAAAATATTTTCATTCCATGATCCGTTTATGATCTAAACCCCTGTTTGGTATACATTATTTCAAATTATATTCTTTCAAAACTTATTTTCAATTACACATTTTTCAATAAAATAATATTTTCCATCACATCAATAAAATTTCCTTAATTTTCAAATACATATTTCTTATCATATCACTATTTAAAATGCATTTTTTCCTCAATAAAAAATAATAAATCTTTATATTTTTACCCAGTCAATCTCAAGATGGACCAAATTGAGTTGAACGTATTTGACCATCAACATAAAACTTTATTAATAGATATTTTTAAATTAATTTTATAAAAAGATTGTCTTTATTATTATTATTTTTTTTTTGGGAAAATTGATAATGCTGAATATTCATATTTTTTCAAGGAGCATCAAGATTGGAGTACTGGGATTCCAAAAATAAAAAAATAGAAAATAAAATTATTCGATTATTGGATGAGTGGCAATGGCTCCGGTCTCCAGACCATTTCAGTGGGTTAACTCAGCTCGTGTGTTTAAGAGGTTGGCTTAAGGGTGGGATTGTTGCACTTGCACGAATGACAAATTTTTTCGTCTCGAATCTTTTTTTATTTTATTTTAAATAATTAAAGGAGCTAGTATATAGAGATTTTTTAAAAAATATTGTCACCCCTGATCCACCTTCTCGATAGGGCAGGAATGATAATGCTCGACTCTCTAAAAGGAAAAGAAGAAATATTGAAAAGCTACATATTGGCTTCGATCGAGTTGTTAAATTGTTATCAATAGGGTCCATGGTCAAACAGCGCATGACCTCTTGGTCAACTAGCTGAGCTCGACTAGCCTCCTAATGGGTCAAGTCGAGCCTAGACGTAGTCTATTTAACTAGGTCTGACCCCGTACTGTTGTCCTTAAAATCAATAATTAGAAAATGGGTAAAATTGAAATGAATCCCTCGTCACTACTCACTAGATAATTTTTATGTTGACCAAGTCAAGTGAGTCAATTGAAGTGGCCATTTTATTCCATGGGATCCACCTGTTGACAATTGTTCAATTCAATCAGTAGAATCTGCACACGCGCCTTCACCAGCGCGTGGTACCAGGTATCCCTCTGTTATTTTTTCATCTCAAGAAACAAAATGTTTACAAGAACGTGACACACTTCCACATTTCTCTCTCTCTATATATATCTCAGCCATTCTCTCTGTATAATTCTATATAGGATTTTTGACGCTACATTTAGTTAATCTTTTTCAAAGACTTGATAGACCGTTTTCTTGTTTTTATACCATTTTCCAGCAGGTTGCAGGCTTCCGGCATGGAACTCCGGCGACTTCCGAAACCCACCATACCTTTGACTTGATTTCCTAGATAAGCTTACCCAAAAGACAAACAGCTTAGCTTCAAAATGGTGAATTAACCAAACTCTTACCGAGCATATTAACAACCACTAACTCCCAAAAAGGAGAGCTATGACTATTTATCAAGGAAAAATATAGCTCGCTACTGAAATTCAGAGGCCCATTTGTGGGAAATTATAGTCTGTTTCGATGGCTAACGCTAATACAAACTCAATTGAAGGGTCCGAAGATGTGGCCGTGAAGGTGGTGAACAAGCGTTTTGAAGGATTAATGGCTGTCCGTACAAAGGCAATTAAAGGAAAAGGGGCTTGGTATTGGTCTCATCTTGAGCCCATTTTGATCAAGAATCCTGAAACTAATCTCCCAAAAGCGGTGAAACTCAAGTGCACTCTATGTGACGCCGCGTTTTCGGCGTCAAATCCGTCTAGGACTGCCACCGAGCATTTCAAGAGAGGGACTTGCCCCAATTTCAGCCCGGTGTTGAAGCCCATTTCGCAGTTACCTCCATTGTCCTCGCCTTCATCGCAGCATAATAATCGCAAGCGAAGCTCACAATCACAGCAAGCAGCAGGCGCTTCTTCGAGTGTTTATCCAGTTAACGTGGTTGATTTGTCGAGGTTTACTAATGAATTGAGCTTTTCACCTACACCACTTGCACAGGTGCCAGGTTTGAATCAGCAGCCACTAATGTTGTCTGGTGGGAAAGAGGATTTGGGGGCATTGGCACAGTTGGAAGATAGTGTGAAGAAGCTCAAAAGTCCAAAAGCTTCACCTCGTCCCTCTTTAAACAAGGAACAAGTTGATTCAGCTTTTCATTTCTTGGCTGATTGGTTGTACGAGTCATGTGGGTCGGTGTCATTTTGCAGTATTGAGCATCCCAAGTTCAAGGCTTTTCTAAACCAGGTTGGCTTGCCTGCAGTCTCTCCAAGGGAATTTTCGAGTGCAAGGCTCGATTCTAAGTTTGAGGCAGCAAGAATGGAATCTGAAACTAGAATTAGGGATGCAGACTTTTTCCAGGTTGCTTCAGATGGATGGAAGGGTAAGAGTTGCGCTCGAGGGGAAGAGAGTTTGGTCATGTTTATGGTGAACCTTCCTAATGGGATGAGAGTGTTTCAAAAGGCCATGTATGTGGGCGGTGGTTCAGTGCCATCAGAGTATGCAGAGGAGGTTTCATGGGAGATAATAAGAGGAATCTGTGGCAATGCCACGCAAAGATGCGCAGGAATTGTTTCAGATAAATATAAAGCAAAAGCATTGAGGAATTTAGAAATACAGAATCATTGGATGGTTAATTTATCCTGTCTGCTTCAGGGATTCTTAAGTTTGATCAAGGATTTTGTTAGAGATCTTCCTCTATTTAGAACTGTAACCGATAATTGTTTGAAGATTGCAATTTTGTGTGATTCTAAGTCTCAGATTAGAAATAGTTTTCGCAAGTTTAGATTGCAAGGGGTTGAGTTTGCCCGGTTCATTAGAGTTCCTCCATCTAAATGTGATATCTCGAAGAATATTGGTCCTTTTGTTGCAATGTTAGAGGATATATTAAGCAATTCTCGTGTTCTACATCTAGTTGTGTTGGATGATTCTTATAAAGCTGTTTGCTTGGAGGATCCTAATGCTAGGGAAGTAGTGGATATGATACAGGATGTTGGTTTCTGGAATGACGTGGAGGCTGCTCATGCATTAGTGAAGTTAATCACACAAATGGCTGAAGACGTTGAAGCTGAAAGGCCATTAGTTGGGCAATGTCTTCCACTTTGGGAGGAATTGAGAGCTAAAGTAAAAGGTTGGTGCTCTAAATACAACTTTGCTGAGGGGACTGTTGAGAAGATAGTTGAAAAGCGATTCAAGAAAAACTATCACCCTGCATGGTCAGCTGCATTTATACTTGATCCATTATACTTGGTGAAGGATGTGAGTGGGAAGTACCTTCCACCGTTTAAGTGCTTGAAACATGAACAAGAGAAGGATGTTGAAAATCTCATAACACGGCTAGTTTCAAGGGATGAAGCTCATATTGCATTGATGGAACTTATGAAGTGGAGATCTGAAGGGTTGGATCCGTTATATGCACAGGCAGTTCAGGTGAAGAAAAGAGATCCTGTGACAGGGAAGATGAAGAATGCTAACCCTCAGAGCAGTACACTTGTGTGGGAAACTTGCCTCAAAGAGTTCAAGTCACTGGGTAAAGTTGCTGTGAGGCTTCTCTTCCTTCATGCAACCTCACATGGGTTTAAGTGGAATCGGTCCTCCATTAAATGGTTCTTTTCACAAGGACATTCGAGATCAGGCCTAGAGAGGGCTCAGAAGCTCATTTTCGTCGCAGCTCAAGCAAAATTCGAGAGGCAGGATTTTTCCAGTGAGGAAGAAGAGGATGCAGAGCTTTTTGGCATCATGAGTGGTGAAGATGATATGCTTAATGAGGTTCTTGCAGATTCATCATCAATGTAATGTTTTTGTCCATTAACTCTTGTAGAATTCGGGCTGTAGGATTTACTACATTATTTTTCGACTCTCTTTAGTCTATTTCTTGAGATTCAAAGATTTTAGAGGCGAATTTGTCTGGAAAGACAGGAATTCAATTATTGTATTATTAGAAACTGCCAAAATATATGATTTCAAGACCTATGAAATGGAAAATAGAGGTACTTGGCGTGTACAGAGGAAATCCATTCCTGTTGATAATGATAAATTTCTTCAAAAAATAGACAGGAATTTGCAGCTGCATGTCTAGCGTCATTTACTACAGATACTTTCATGATATTTCATATTAAAATTTGCTCATATTCTTGCATCATAACAAAGCGCCACCATTTGCTAATTGTAGGTTCAAGACTGTTTCTTGTGTTAGTTGTTAAAGTGCACTATGGCAATTATAATTTCTTGAAAGTATCCTAATGGTGCCTTGATTTTGGTCTACCAAGACTTCACCATTGTTCTCTCAAAAACTATCACAACTGAGGCGCAGTTGCTAGTCTCGGCGACAATTGCCATATTTACCCAGAAACATAATTATTTTGTTCCTATCAAGTAGACATAACATGTTCCATACTCAAGTCTTCAAATTTCCTGCTATGTGATTGTTCAAAGTGAAATGTTATCAATTGTTTCCAAAAACTATTTTATTGTCAAGTTAAGTTTCTCTCTCCATTATAACATGAATTTAATTCTTGGTGGATCTTAAATAAGCACTTCGTTTATTTATTTTGTGTTAATCAGAATCCCACTCTATCCATTCTTTTGAGAAGGATGGCTTCTTATCTTATATATCACACAGATAATTAACCAAAACATTCATTTTATTTTTTTAGGAGCAAGTTGGAAATTTGACGTTGAATTACTGTGAGAAAAGGTATACTTTCATGGTAGGATAGATGAAAACGAACTCTTTGAAATTTCAATTCTAATAATTCCTCGCAAAAACTCATCATGCATATTGCTTATTTTTTCCAATCTGTTGCTTGCTTATATCAGGAGGCTCAATGCTCCATGGGAATCTCTGTACACTGTCAAAGACACCTTTCTAGCTGCTTTGTATACAAATTCATGTTTTTTTGTTGCAGAAATTAATTCGGTTATATTTTTCCATCCTCCACTTCTACGCGCATGCAGCATTAAACTGAAAGGCAAAATTAGACTTATCTTTTACAGAGTTTTCTTAATAACTGCTTAATTAATAATTTTGTTGTTCATGTTTGATTGCCTAATGATGTTTCACACGTATTCCCAGACTGGAGTGACTTTTATAACAGAGTTCAGACGAGAAATTGGTTGCAAGGGAACATTATATAATTACTATGCATTTGTTTCCAATTTCCAGAGTTAATTTTCCCTGAATTTGTTGAGTGGATGGCAAACCAGACTAGGTCGTCTTATTTGTCAACCTTGGAATAATCAAGAAATATATCTTTGTTGGTTACTATTTACTCCCATCTACATCCAGAGAGAGGATGTCTAGCATATGGTAGTACCCCACCATAGAGAGTGGAAGTCCATCAGTGAGCTTTATTGTCAATTGTCATGGTCGAAGGGAAAAGAGGGCTGAAATGTAGTGATCTCTCTCTCTCTCTCTCTCTCTCTCTCTCTCTGTGAAATTATATTACTAATCTTTAACCCTACTATCTTTTCAGTAGCTTGTCTTTAAACATTCAAATGCTCTCTTGCTTTTCAGGTCGGACCCTTTTGTAAAAGTTTTCAACCCGAGCGTTGAAGAATTTGAGTTTTGCATTGTGATTAGTTCCTTTGCTATAATTGTTGAGAGGTCTTTTAAGCAACCTGCAAGCGAGGGAGGCTGTCGGTATCATCAAATGAATTTCAGGACCTGAAATTGATATTGCAACAAACTTCAACTGATTTATAGGTAATACACAATTGTGTATATTTTTCACAATAATTCCGCAAGGTTGAAATTCTTCCGGTGGTGGACCAGTTACTTTCTCCATTTCTCGCTTTACACGTGTTATACACTGGTACGCTCTTACTCTAGTAACATACCTTTTTCCTAGCTTTACTTTCCAAATATCATACCACCATTTTGCGTCATGCTTGGTTTTAAGCTTGGAATGGAATTTGTGGAAAACTTGAGACAAAGAGCATCCTTGGCTAAGCTTTTGTTTCCACAGAAGTTTCGAAGTAACTCATTTCCAACATTGACAAGCACAAAACCTACTTATCTATTAGTAACTTATAACTAATTTTTTTAAGCTTAGGCAAATATGAACATATAATCCTTTCTTCCTTGCAAAGATATCGAATTGTACACAACATAAGCGAACTACATGAATTAGTGAATTTTTTTTTTGCCATATTTGATGTGCTAGGACACACGTAAATAGATACTTGTTTTGTACAGGAATTAATTGGTACTGGCCAAGTAAAAAAGTTGTCAATCAACTAAAGATGTTCATGATTATCAAGACTTTATGATAAACGGTACAGAGGATGGTAACAAAGGTTAAGAGAGATGGAGGAATAAAAAGTATATGGGGACACTGCATATGGAATCTATCAACTAGTCATTATCCCATTCCTCAATTATAGTTGTAAAGTAATTCTTCTTCTTTTGGTATTCAATCATTCTTTTACGGAGGCTTTGATTGTTTCTCCTGTAGATTTGTGCACTTCTCATCATAGAACCCCTATAGGGTAGTTCAAACTTTGAAAAATTTCTTTAACGTATATGTGGAAAAAAATGATGACAAAAATGAATAAAGGGAATGTGCTCTCCTGTAATCTCTTTTGCAAGTCCTCCGCCTATATTTCTCATAGTCGGTCCAAAGCCCGGGCAAAGGACGAGGGTTGCAGTTTGTCGATAACTAGCATAAAAGTTTGCCAAAATCTAATAGTACGAGTCCTAATATACAAATTTTTGTTTTACTTCTAGGGTTTTGCAAGCATCAGAGGGCAGAATTACAAAGTGTTGTTGAGTATTGTGTATAATTATCTACCCTGACTGTTGATGTGGAAAAAAGATTATTACAACAAACTAAGTTGTGGTTAAAATGTTGGTAAATGTTTTGAATTTACATGTAAATTTATTTTTTCGAGAGAATGTGTGGTTGGAAATGAGTCTCAGAAATTTAAAGAAAATGGGGCTTAAACAGGGGCTTAGTTTGTTGTAATAATCATTTTTGCACATTAACAGTCAGGGTAGATGCTTGCTAAATCTTAAACGAAAAAAAAAAATGGTCAGGTTGACAGCCAGTGTTGACTTCTATGTTCCGGCCTCGAACCTGGGCGAAGGAAGAGGGTTGTGGCAGCTGGTAGGTTTATGGCCAGTGTTGAAGTCTGTGTTTCATAGCCACGCCCGAGTAGACATAGCTAGTATAAGACTTTGTCAAATCTTATAACTTGAATCCTATACTTTAGTTAAATCTTTTACCGGGTCCATGGTCGAGTCGAGTTAGATGATTATACATATTACTCAATGCAACATTTTCTAATTCCACCTCTTGATGCTTTCTAATTTATCTCTGATTTTCGATTTAGGTACACAGTTTGTGGAAAGACAGATTGACCTGTCGGCAAGCAAGGTTACTACTGACTGCTCACCAGACTATGAAGAAAAAAGGGTTTTTATTTGTATGGCATGGCTCCATAGTTAGTTCACTCGTGATTTTGTGAAAAGGTGTAGGGGATACAATCATTAGTATAGTCCAGAGAAATACCCCTTTATATCAGAATCTCAACTCTTTCAATGCTAACTTCATTATTACGCTCTCTTTTTCATGCCTTTTATTTCCACTTAAATAATAAATGTTGGCTGTGTTTTTGAATGTGAAATCCTCCAAAATGGATTCATGTAGAGTTTCTGTAGCTTGATTTTACTTTTTTACTCGTCTTGTGATGATGTGTAAAGAAGAATTCTGTCGGGTTGAAAAGATTAGTAAAAGATAATGGAGAATTCTCTTTGGACATCGGACGCTTATTAGGGTAAACGACCGTAGATCTGTAAAGTAGAATTGTACTAAGAAACGCGTAATATGAGAGTACTTGAAGTCTTGTAGGATTTTTATTATAGTTAACAAAGTTTGGCGCGATTTAGTTTTACATCAAATTGTATCAAGATTTAAAGTAACGATAATAGACATTTCCTTCCTTCCTTCCGTTTTTTTTTTGTTATTATGTGTCAATTATTTAATCATAGTCACGAGAGTAGCACTAGATTGACACTCGACACTTGATTTTGTCATATAGATTATTCAAGAAAAAAATTAAGATAAAATTTTTAACGTGTTAAAGTTCTCTAGTTCTATCTCTTGATAGGGTAAAACTATATTTCTTTTTAATTATTGCATAAAATAAGATATTTGAAAAATGCTTAATCTCCTACTTATAATGACCATAAAAAAAAATGATGTGAGAGAGATGGAGAGATTCCTTGGGGACATAATAACAAGTATTAAAAGTATGCCACGTGAAAATTGAAAATTTGTGAAAAAAAAAAAAGTGTAATGGCAATTATGAGAAAGATAGTGGCATTAATCATTTGATTACCACAAAATTTAAGCAAATTTGTGCGTGAGGATAATAGACAAGTGGTTGAGGTCTAATAATTATTGTACCATACTACTAATGTATAAAGATTTTCTTGTTGGATTCTAATTTTTATGTCACAGTAGCGACCTCAAAGTCTCAAACCTTGTTTTTATGTAAATTGGGGAAGAATTTTTTTCAATTGGTCCACTTTTTTCCGAATAGGGATCCTTTCTAAACAAACCAAAGAATTTATGGTCCGTTTGATTGTAAGAATGAAATTTGGTAGGAAAGAAAATGAATTCTATGAAATTGAATTGCTTAGAACTCGTTTTACTGAGAATTCTCAATTAATTGTGTTTGATTTATATAATTTTCTACCTGAAAAATATTGAAATTTTGGATTTTTTGGTGTTCGTTTGACTTTATTTTTCATAGAAATTCTCCATTAAAGATATATAATTTGTTATAATTGAAGATATAATTTGTTTCCAT